CATTATACCTATGATATTGCTTCCCTTCAGCTCATCCTGCACACCATTACCTAGATAATCCTAAAACACACCTTTCATCATATCACTCCCCTATTCAAAACCTACTGGATAAAACCAAAATTCATTAGCTTGGCATTCAAGGCCCTTCACAAGTTGATCTAAACCTCTTTTTCCAAGTTTATCCTCTTCTTCCTCTCCATAAGAACCCTTTGCTTTAATCAAATTTGTGTACTCACTAACCCAAAATACATGTTGTCCTTTTCTATCTCTTTGCCTTCACCCTTCTAATTTCCTCTCTTTTAAATGCCCTTTTCTGTTCCTATCTTCTCTTAACAAAATCTATCCATCTTTCAAGTTCAATTTGAAGTTGTCTTCCATAAAACCTCCTCTTATCACCCCAGTTATAAGAAAGTTCTGTACTTATTTGTGTCTCTCTAGGCAGATCATGAGCTCTTCTAGCAAGCAATCATTGAGTTGTACTCTCTTCTGTATCCTCTGTAATGTATAGAAAGGATACTAAGTGCTCAATATATTGTTGGATGAAAGAATGACTGAATGGGTCAGCCAATTCAACAAATATATAAGCCTTTGGTATATACAGGTCAACTAAACTGACCTTCTTGTTATCTCCCACAAGGACATTTTCCATCTCTAGTCTTTTATTTGTGGTGGTTGTTGTTGTTGTTCAGTCATTTCAGTCTTCTCCTACTCTTCATAACTCCATTTGAGGTTTTCTTGGCATAGATACTGGAGTGGTTTGCCATTTCCTTCTCCAGCTCATTTTACAGATGACAAGATTGAGGCAAACAGGGTTAAGTGACTTGTCCAGGGTCACACAGCTTCTATGTGACTGAGGCCATATTTGAACTCAGGAGAATGAGTCTTCCTGACTTCAGGCCCAGCACTATCAACTATACCACTTAGCTGCCCTCTAGTCTTCACACATTTGCACAAACTGGCCCCCACAACCTCTTCATTTCTGCTTTTTGGAATCCCTACCTGGATTCCAGGATCAACTCAAGTATTACCTCCTTCAAGAAACCTTCTTTCCTGGCCCTCTCACCCATACACACACATACTCCAAATCCCACAAATTACTCTGTTTACTTTGTCCATATTTTTTAATATTAATCTGCATATATGTTCCTTAGATTCTTCCTCTCCAATAGAATGTAAGTTCTCTGAGGACTAAGACTGTTTTTACATTTGTCTTCTTATCTACAACACCTAACATAGTACAGGGCACATAGTAAGTAGTTAAGAAATTATTATTGAATTGAAGGAAAAGTAAGTGAATTATTGATTTTCAAATGTTAAGCCCCCTAGCCAGTGGTGTCTCATGTTACTGGTGGGAGGAGGGGGACTGAATCTTCTCAAGTACTGGAGGACCTTGCCACTTGTGGCTCGATACCCGCTAGAAAGCCTCGTTGCCACCTAGAACCTATTTGCTGTTATTCTTTTACAACATTCTATATCCTGTCACCTCCACCTCTTGGAATCCCTAGTTTAATTCAAAATTCAGGTCAAGTGCCATTTCTTCCATGAAGCTTTTCCTGAATACTCTAGTTGCTAATGTTGTTCTAAAATTACTTTATTTTTTTAAAAAATATTTTCTATTTACTAATATACATCAATGGTGTTTCCCTATAGAATATAAACTCCTTGAAGACAAGTGTTCATTCATTTTTTTGGTCTTTATATGACCCCTTCCCTCCTTTAATTTTGCACACTGCCTGGTACATAGTAGGTTTTAATAAATATTTCTTGATTAATTGCTTACAAAGAAGTTTGAAATACTAAAGACCTTTTTCAAACCTAAGCCTATCAAATGGAAATGGAAAAGTTAGCAGTTCACTCCCTTTCCTTAGGTCATCCAGAATAACTTCTACTTGAGATATTTGTATTTTGAACCCCACACAATTATGCATCACCATAAAATCACAGAACTTTAGTGCTAGAACGGGCCTTTAAAAAATGGAGTTCTCTATAGTAAAACCTACAAATTGCTTTGCTCTAAGAGGCTGAGCATGAATACTGAAAAGGAACTAAAAAAGTTGTGAAAGATTTTTTAAAGTGGAAGAAATAGAGGATATTAAGAAAGAAGAAAGAAAAGGTAAAATGATTGAACCTTAGCTTTGTTTCACAAATATTTGGGGGCAAGTGACCTCTGCATGACTGCATTTGTGACTTTAAGCCACCGTGGCTAGACAAGTATAGATGGCTCCCTTGGAATATTCCTATTATTCAAGATATATCTTCAAAGGAGCCCAAGCTGGCTTATTTCAAGGAAGTATTGTTGATATCAACCTCCTAGCCTACCTGGGAGTGAGGATTTCCCCCTGTGTAATAATGATCATGAAGGAAAAGGAGAAAAGCAATATAGTTAAGGCTATTGATTTCTTCTCTTCTTCATAAAACTTCTCACTCCATTCCATCCCCAGTAGGCCTCAGATTGAAATGTTAGCCTATTAGGTTAAATTTTTGAGGCCCTCCCAAGGATAAATTTCAGAAAAGCCTTGCCAGGGCTTTGACCAAATTAGAATATTTAGAAGTATCGCTCCATGCAGGGACAGCCTCTGGAGGAACTTTTTCTCACTTCCTAGCCCTGTTATTTAAATCTTCTGGGCCACACAGGCACAATATTTCATACAGCCCCTGCCCCTTATATTCTGTGAAGTGAATGAAAAACAGTCCCCTGGCCCTCCTTATAGAATAGGCATTTGTGAAGTAAATACATTATGTGTGACGACTGGCCATTTTCAATAAACTTCTTTTATGGCGGTGTGATTACTTAGACTTGGTATCGCTACTACAAAAATGCAGCTGGAATTTTGGAAATCACATTTTCCTTCCTAAACAAAAAAGGGAAAATATCCAATCAAATACTGACAGACTAATAATTTTTCTCTAATCTGGCCTTTCAAAACAGAGGACAGACAGACAGAGACAGAAATAGAGGCAGAGACAAAGACAAAAAGAGAAATAAAGAGAGGGGAGAAAACGCAAATGCAGCATCGGAACAAATTCAAAAATCACTCCTCCACACTAACTGCAAAGCTAACGCCCTCACTCCTACAGCTCAAGTAATAATACAGCAGCAGAAAGACTATTGAATCTAGAATCAGAGGTCCTCAGTTCAAATCCTGCCAAGGCTATTTAATATCTGTGCCTTTGGTCCAGGCCCTTAACTTCCCTAGACTTTAGTTTGTTCATCTATAAAATAGGGAAATTTGGATGAGTTGACTTCTAAGGCCCTTTCACTTCTATATCCTCTGCTCCTGTGATAGAAAATGGGAAAGCATGGCCATAGTTTGTTACTCATAAAGATTCAACGAATCCTACCTTAAGGTTGCTACTTCAATTTAGTTCTTTGCAAATCCATCTCCTTTTCTCTATTCCCAACAGCCTACCCATCTGGGATGAGGCCATTTAAATTGGGTGACTTCTGGCAGTATGCAGAAAATCTCACTTGGGACTAAAGGTACAATAACCTGCTACCCAGAGAAGGAAGGTGAAACCCAGGTTTGTCTCCAGCCAATTGTGGACATCTGGTGGGTAACATACTGATATTTCTCATGCCTGCCAAAGCTGTCTTCTATTATCACAGATAACTAAGAGTTGACTGTACTCCATAAGCTTACAAAAAGTACTTCACAGATGAGTGAAAACTGAAACCAACAAGGACTGGAATAGTAAAATGGATTCTTTAGTGAATGAATAGTCGAGCAAAGGGATCTTAACAACAGACACCAAGTGAATGCCAGTGGCTGGGGCGGTGGGAGGGGTGAGGGGGGAGGGAGAACATGTTGTGCTTAGGTACAAGTGAATATCAACAGGACTTGGAGTCCTTTCCTAACTCCCTACCTTTTGATGTTTTCTATTGGCAATGTCAGTGACAATTTCAAGCTGTTACTCCCTTAAAAATAGGGCAATAGGAAATAGACAGAAGTCATGTGGACAGGGCTGGCTTGACTTAATAATAGGTGGTTGCCACTACAGTATAATTTAAGGGAAACTCAGAAGAATCTCCTCCTTTCACTAAGGAAAAATCACTTCTACTCTCCTGTCTCTTGAGTTTGGAATTATATCTTTGGAAATACTTCCCTTTGGATTAAAATTCAAATTGTCCTGGAAGAAGTAAAGCAATAAGTCATGATCAGCTATTAAATTAATTCATATTATTAATAATAACTGATATTTATATAGAACTTTAAGGTTTGCAAATTAATTTCATACATTATCTCATGTGATCCTCACAGCCCCACTGATTGTATGTACAATTATTATCCATATTTAAAAGAGAAGAAAACGGGGATACATAACTAGTAAGTGTAAGATGATTCAAATCCTCTTCTAGTCTTATCCCCAATGCTTGGTACAGTGTTTTATATACTGTAAGTACTTAAAAAATGCTTTATTTGTTTATTCAAATCCCTATCTTCCTGACTCCAAGGCCAGGGCTCTATTAGGTTCATTTCCAAAATGATAGCAAGCTGAGAGTGAATAACTCCCTAATGAATGGAACATTGGGGAGGATGAGAGGGATTCAGGGTCAAGACATTGATTAAGGCCTATCCTTGATGCAATAAGGGAGCCCTGGGCATCGGTTAGTAATATGGATTCATTAGTGCCTAGATATAGGTGAGGTTGTAAAGACGGAAGAAAATAGTACTGAAAGGGAAAGTAGAAGACAAACTCAACCTACTTCCCAACTTTACTTAGGATAGGCTTTGCCAATTGAAAGCCTTACAATATATAACTTTTGTACTCTCGTTTATCTCATATTCAAACTGGTTAGATGATTCCATTACAAACTCATCATATTTTAAGAACAATTAAATTGATTTGAATTGTTAGCCCCTCTAAAAATTCTGCTCCCAGATTACAAAATACTGTGTGACTAGTCTAGTGATTGTGACTAATCATCCATTTCTACTAAAGTGTAGAAGTTTCTAATGATAAGGGGAACGAGTGTTAGTGCCAAAGAAGTTTGTTCTTACCTGATTGGACAACATTTATCACCTTTTCCCAACGTCCAAGAGGGAAAAGTTGGAGAATGCAGTAATAAAGGCCAAGGTCAGCTTTCGAGGCATTATGAAAAAAAAGGGAAACATCGTTTGCAGTCACACTGGAGTTCAAAAAGTGAATCCTACTGATATAGTCTGTCCTAATAAGCCCACCAAACGTAGGACTGAAAATAGCCATGGAATTTTTCCCTGTTATTGTGATCTTGAACCATTCCGCCTGGCTTACAAAGTCCGATCCTGGATACATACACTCGAAAATCATATTCTTGGCAAGTTTTACAGTTGTATCCACAAATTCCTCTTCAGGTAAAGCTGAGAAGTACAACATAACAGTAATTCAATTAGATTTTTTAAAAAAATACGCAAAATTCCAAGTAAATAGCTGAAGTTTTCTAAGACCTAGCAAAATTGTCAATGTAGTCATTCAAATAAATAACCTAATAATCACTTTGTAAGCCTAAAGAAAATTGTGCTGATGTTATCTTTATAAGCTTCTAGTTTCTCTGAACACCCGAAAAAAATAAACATCTATGTGACCTTTGAATCATTTTAAATTCTGATTCTTTAGGACACATATGGAAAAATACACATTAAAAAAAAGAGAAAGAAAAAAAGCCAGAAAAGGTATTCCTACCTTTGTGTGCCTGAAGAATAACAAAAAGGAAAGGAAGACAATGCATCTCTGGAAGCACTTGTAGGCTGACATTGAATTCAGTACCCCATTTCCTGCTTCTAAGATACCTTCAGCATAAGGGCTTTTTTTTTTTTTGGTCTAAAGAGAATACAGTTAAAACAGCTTCAGTTTCTTTTTCTTTTTCTTTTTTTTTCAAAATATCAAAGAACTCAAGGAAGGCGTCTACCTTTGTAGACAGCTTATTCTCGAGTAAGGTTAGACAAGTTCCTAATCCTTTCTTGTTGCAGAGAAAGATCATAAGCTGATTTTCTTGCTTTTGTTTCAGTAAATCTATTCCCATCACTAGCCACACCCATCTCTTTTGTGCAAGATGGTCCTGTTGCTAAAGATTCTTCATTTTGAGCCTGCCTGGCTAAGACTGTGTTTAGCAATATAAGGAGGACAAATATGGCCCACTTTTGTATCTAGCATTCCAACTCCTTTATGGATCTCTTGAGAAGAAGCATGATATGGTGGGAGTCTGAAATACCTCTGTTTAGATGTTGCTTCTAACACACATTAAGTTGCATAACTATGGGCAAGTCATTTAATCATTTGTGAACCTCCAAGCGACTTTGGAACTTTTTAAGTTAAACACAGACCTCTACTACATACTTCCTCTACCTCAAAAAAAAAAGTTGCCTTTTAAAATACATTTAAACATTCACATAGGGCCAAAATAGTAAGCTCACAAGTGTAAATTAGCCTATTAGATTGATTTCTTACCCAAGGGAATCAATACATCAATACTAGAATAAGCATGGTATAGTAGATATGGCATTGGACATGGAATAAGGAAGATCTGATTTCAAATCCTACCTTAGGCACTTCCTTACTAGTTGTTTGACTATAGGCAAGTCATTGTCTGTGTCTCAGTTTCTTCATCAGCAAGATAGGAGCATGGAGTCAGACTTCATGGCCTCTACAATCTTTTCTCATTCTAAATCTATGATTCTATGATCTCTAAATTAAGGAAAAAGAAGAATGGACCTATTACAGCTAGTACAATGCCTGAAACCTAATAAGTGCTTAATAAATATTAGTTAACTTTCTGACTAGCCATGAAAGGAGACTAGGGAGAGAACAAAATTGTAGACAAATTTTGTCATCTGGTCCTGCTCTTCATATTTTGTTCCATCCAAAAATTTTGCCATATTTATATGGGAAATGGCATCAGAACGAGGAGTCTTCCCAAGTGCTATGGAATTAATAAGTTAACAGTACAAAATATAATAATAATAATAATAATAATACCACTTTCTATTTCTATAGCATAGTACCCTTACAAAGAATTTTCCTGTCTGTTATGTAATTCAATACTCTCAATGGCCCTGTGAGATATGCAAAGCAAGTATTATCATTCTCATTGAACAGACAAGGAAAACAATGATAACAAAAAATGCCTGTGAACCAACAAAAATTATGATGCATATCATTTCTAAAGCATACAGTATTGAAATTGCAAGGCCACATCTTGAGCCAAACAGTAGAGGGGAAATTAAACCATCTCAGAGGGAAAAAAAGCACCACAAAAGCCTCTAAAGTACTCTGGGGACAAATGAAAGAACTCCTTGCCTCAGTGATATAGCAAAAGCACTGGAAATGGAGACAGGAGATCTGATGTCCCAAATCTGCCACTTCATAGCAGTGTTACAATGGAAAAGTCATTCATACTGGTGAATATCCATTTTTCTCATCTGTAAAATGAGGGAAATACCTTAAATACAGGGCATTGTGGAGGAAATGATCTGTAAAATTTAAAACATAAAAATGTGAGTTCTCATTATTATCATGGAGGGCATAGCAGAGATGAGACCAAGAACTAGAGGAAGTTCTCTTTACAAAATTTTGCTTTGTGGGAGGCAGGCCCAGAATTTTAATTTGTCACTGGCACCAAGCAACATATATCTCTAAAGAAATAGAACATCTATCTTTAAGGTAACTGGAAATTCTAATTGCCTTACTTGTTTTGTAACCCTTCCCCCAGCCTCCTTTCTTGTTGGCAGAATAGATGAAAAAGAAACATTTGAAGAGAAAAAAAAAGGATTAATATTACCTTCTGCTGCTCAGATTTATAATACAAATAAAAATGTTTATTGCACATCTGTTGTCCTTGTTTCTAACTCAATATGGGAAGCAAACTCATAAAGTAAGAAACATTTCTATCAGAAACAATTAATTGATCTTTTCATTACTGTATCTTCTTGGAATGAATTTGGCTTCTGACTTATCTTCCTTAGAAGATGAAAGAGAAATTTATCAACATGAATCGCCCATCCTGAATTCCTACAGAATTGCTGGTCTATCTGGATCATACAACTTGGCAATCAGTTGTGTCCTATATTGTTCAGTATTATTTCCTGTGTTTCATGAAACACTCCAACGAGTTTGTATGCTCTTTGAAGGCAGGTTTTATGTTTTATGCTTCTTCTGTATCTATCTCAATACACAGTGCAGAAAGCTGCTCAAATATGTATTTGTGATCAGTTGATTAAAATCGCTTTGTATAAAAACACTCATAACCATGAGTTTAACATAAATAGAAGAAGGAAATAATAGAGGAGGGCTGAGAGACATTAAGAAATAGTGTGAGATCCTGGGAAGATCACCAATTTAGATGTAATTTAGAGACTACCTTCTTCTCCCCAGCATACCTCTAACCTCAAATAAACAAATAAAAAGCTCCCAAATGCAGTAAAACTGAGCCAGGAAAGAAACAAGAAAATTGAAAGAAACTGTCACAAGGTAATTTTTACCACTCCCTCAAAAAAAAATAATAATAATAATTAAAGACCAATTCACCACCTTGATAGAGCACTCCTAGGGTTCCTGGATTCCCCATTGCCCTCTCCCACAATGGATAGAACAGGATTCCAGTAGCCCAAGTATGACAGTGGCTACCTAACTTTTGAAATTAATACTTTCAGTTTGCCAAAGAGGTTACTACTCTTAGGGTGGGCAGAATCCTGGGCCTCTCTTCTTTGGCTTCCATTCTTCCATATAGCTGCCCAAAGGCCTCCACTGCCCCAAGCTTGTGATGCTGCAATTTGGATCACCCAGATTTTGAAGATAACACTCTGACAATGTCCACATTACCAAAGAGGCATCATGGCACAAGGGTAAAAGAATCTGATTTTGAGTCAGAGAACTTAGGTTTAAATCCCAGTTCTACTATTTATTTATTACAAGTATAATTACAAGTGTAACATGGCAATTTCTTTGATCCTCAGTTTCCTCATGTATAAACCAATGAGAGAGTAGATAACATCTGAGGCTTCCTCTAGCTCTAAATCTGAAACTACTAAGACAAGTTGAGTTCCATGAATCAGACCACCTGAGAAGAAGGAAAAGGGAGTGAGCAGCAAAGAATATGAACCTTGGGAAACAAGAAAGCGGAACATGAAGAAGACCAGAAACACATGACTAATTAATACTAATCAATACAGTAAAGGAGGTAACAAGCAGTCAGTATTGGGAGGGAGAGAAAGACATAGAAGAAATCTACGTGCCAAGGTTTCTGGAAGCACCCTCTCATCACAGTATTGAATGACCTTTCTTAGACCCCTCCCCTTTCTAGTTAGCTTCAGGGATTGCAGAAAGCCCATCGGAGAAGAACTATGGAAAACAGAAGAATGGGACAGGTAAAGGTGGGGAATAGAGGTAACTGGGGCCACTGACCACTCTCACCCCATGAAAGAGATATGTACTCTAGATAACTACTGTTTAGAGAAATGCAAATCAAAACAACTCTGAGGTACCACATCATACCTATCAGATTAGTTAACATGACAAAACAGGAAAATGACAAATGCTGGAGAAGATGTGGGGAAATTGGAACACTAATGCATTGTTGGTAGAGTTGTGAACTGATCCAACCATTGTGGAGAGCAGTTTGGAACTACGCTCAAAGAGTTGTAAAACTGCATACCCTTTGACCCAGCAATACTACCTCTACGTCTGTATCCTAAAGAGATCATAAAAATGGGAAAAGGACCCCACATGTACAAAAATATTTATAGCAGCTTTTTTTTGTGGTATCCAAGAATTGGAAATTGAGGGGATGCCCATCAATTGTGGAATGACTGAACAAGTTGTGGTACACAAATGTAATGGAATACCATTATTCCATAAGAAATGATGAGCAGGTGAACTTTAGAAAAACCTGGAAAGAGTTACATAAACTGATGCTAAATAAAGTGAACAGAACAAGGAGAACATTGTTCATAGTACCAGCAACATTGTGAGATGACTAACTGATAGACTTAGCTCTTCTCAGCAATGCAAGGATCTAAGACCAAAAGACTCATGATGAAAAATGCTATCTATATCCAGAAAAAGAACTATGGAGTCTGAATGTAGATCGAAGAATACTATTTGCTCTTTTTTCTTTGTTTCTTCTTTCTCATGGTTTCTCTCATTGGTTCTAATTCTTTACAACATGACTAATGTGAAAATATGTTTAATATGAATGTATATGTATAGCCTATATCAAATTGCACACTGTCTTGGGGAGGGGGAAGGGGAAGGAGAGGGAGAAAATTTAGAACTCAAAATCTTGTGGAAGTGAATGTTGAAAACTAAAAATAAATAAATAAAATTTAAAAAACAGAAGAAAGAGTCCTTCTTCATCCAACTGTGGGAGTCTGAAAGACCATAAAATAGGCAACAGATGCTAGCAGAGAGACACAACATGACTAGGTTATCTTAAAGTATTTGGTAGTATGCAAACTTTCGGCAAGTGCATCATTAAAAAATTCAAAATAATAATTGTTTGGGACAGACAAAAGCTGACTAAGGAGGGTAAATGTGCAAGTATTCAAAGAAAAGTGAATCTAAGTGAAAAAGTACTTGGCAGCAAAGGAAACTGAGTCAAAAATATCCTTTGAAAGGTAAAAGATACAACAAATTCTAAAAGAACCTTGAAATGACAAAGGAGTAATTTAAAGAAACTCTAAAATTGTTCAGAAGAAGGATGAAAGAAATAAGGGAAGATGTCCAAGACTTGTTTTGACTGAAACCTTGATTATACTGGCATAGTGAGT